CTTTCTCAATATTCTGCAGATGCTGAAAAAACACAATTTTGCAATCGCGGTGTTTCCATTAAATAAAAAACGTAATAAGAAAACACAATTTACAAAACATGCTGTACAAAATGTATCCTATAAGCAACATTATTACCGTAATTCCAATTTGCGCAATTTTATGGTCAATGGAAACTGAGCTACTAAAGCCCATTTTTCCACTCTTTTCTGAACTGGGATCATAGTTCAGGTGTTATCTTAGCTTTTGAGATGCTAATCAGCTGATCCCAGTGATAAAAACAATATCCTGTAAATTTTTTTCCAGGTACAAACCCAGAAGTCTGAGGGGATAATTGTCCAAACGTGCATCGCCTCAGCCAAACAATATATGAACAAACGTCTAGAAAAACAGAGCAGCTCCAACATGATGGCTGTGCATAAAAGATGTATCAACATCATTTCCCTTTTTTCATCACTTATTCCAAGGAGTTTTGTCATATAATTATGGCGTTTTGTGAAAATTATGAGTGAAAGGGCACATTCAGCCAGCAGATGCTAGTTTGTCTTCAAATCTAAAAGAGTAGCATCATGTGTTGAGTTGGCCAACAGGCCTGGGTTACGGAGGCTTTCCATGCATGAATGAACACGTATGTGACAGAGACGTACGGAGCGCACAGGCTGTAATATGAGCAGCATCTCTCTCCAGATTCCCCCGTCACACCTGACTGAGCAACAGTAATTAACCCTGATTTCACTTAGCAGACACACACACACACACACACACACACACACACACACACACACACACACACACACACACACACACACACACAAATCTCATCATGACACCTTACACATGACAACACAGTCATGCATGTATAGTACCCACACCAAACAAATGAAGCTGCACTGAAGCAAATCAACAACACAGGAGCGGCAAGAATGAGGAAAAAGGGACAAAAAGTCAAAGTGGAAATGAAGGATGATGACACATTTATGCAAATTGGAGGAAGGTGTTTTCATGCGTGTGTTTTCATTTTCCCTTTCCTCTTTTGTTCACTGCGTTGGCATCGGTTATTCCCCTGGCAAGAAGCATGGCCAACAACACCTGAGCTTCACCCACCCACACACACAGAGCAACACAATGAACACGCACTCTTTACGGATACGTTCGGTGCGGTGAGCTTCGGATTTTCTCGTGAGTCGATAGTGTGACTCTGCAAACAGATGGTAATGACAGTTCTGTCCCTGGATAACCGTCTAATCAGAGTGGCGTCACTAACACAAGCAATCCAACTTTTCTGACTCTCTGCAGGCTGAAACATCCTTCACAACAAATAAAGTTAACAGCGTAATTCCAATCAAAGACGTTTACTTTAGATGATATTTCCTGTCTTTAATTACTCTACCTCAGGATGTGATCTGATTTAATTTACATTCTGAGTTAGGTGTCGTACAGTTTGCCTGTAGCCATCAGACTTTTCAACGGCTAACTCTGAGTGTCTTCAATATTTATACTTATATGTTTTTACATATCTATATGTGTTTGGATGTGTACTTAGAGTGGTGGGATTGTGATGTGATGCATTGCAGATTTCACAGATTTCACTCATCAGTTCATAATGAAAATATTATATCACTGTTTACATCCTGATTTGCAGCATCTGGCTTCTTCTGGTGCAGAATTATGATCTCCGTCTCACATCAACAACATAAAAGCTGGATAACATCATACATAACTAATCAGACTCCAGATGCTCTGAAGACAATTAGATATTTGATTTAGCTACACATGTGAAAGTGGGACAAATCAGATTTTCTTTTTGGTGAAAAGATCAGAATTGGTCCAATCAGACCGCTGTGAAAAAAGTTGGATTTGCGTCACATTCGCCTGAACGTCACCGAATCTTTAGCTCCCTTTATAGAATCAAGTTACTTCCAACCAGAAGAAACATGTCGGTAAAGTTAGTTAACTATTTATATCTGAAGGAGGCATGAATAGTTTTGGGATTGAATATTGAGCTTCTAATGTAATGAACATTAAAATAACTTATATTTGTGGTTGAATGTAAAGATTTCCAACATTAAAAGTCAAAATAGTTTATCAGGATTTATTTGACACAGGCCTTCTGGTGGAATAAAGTACTGCTTATCTTTCTGAATAGCAAAAAAGGTGCATTTGTGTAATGGTTGAGGCAAAAATAGTTTTTTCATAGACATCTAAAATGTTTGGATTTTCTACACAGCTTGAGTGAAAAACAGATCAAAACATGAACAGAGAGGAGTCATTGTGGGTTCCCACTTTCTGGAAATCTTTTCAGTATTCCATCCTCAGCTCCCTCGCAGCTCTAATGGGCCACAGCCAAACATGCACACATCGACACAAACAACCAGGGCTTGTTTCACACCTCCAGAAGAAACAGTCCCACTTTGCAGCATACATAGTAATGAAGTGTGTGAATCTCTGCCGTCTTTCCATGCCTTTTATTTCACCCCAACCTCTGCGGTCACATTTACGTACCTTTAACGATCAAGTCGGCGTAGTTGGAAACTCCGGATCCGCCATCAGATCGGATGACGCAGCGGTAGCGGCTGGTGCTCCGCTGCGACGTGTCACCAACGCTCACCGTCGCAGAGAAGCGGCGGTGGTTGACCACCCTGGTCACCATCAGCGCCGTATCTTTTCCGTTCCACTGCTGAAAGATGGGAAATTATACTTGTTGTTGTTGGTGTTCCACTTGTTTTCCATGTTAATGTACGAATATTTACTGGATTTATAGTGCAACTGTTTATATTTGGTAAAATAACTGATGTTCTATCAGTGTTACTCTCCAGCCTGTATGGTTTTACTGAAACAATCCATGAATCTACAGAATATGTACATCATGAAATGAAAACAAAGAATCAATTTTCTGAGGATGTCAACCTGAAAACTAAAAAAAAAAACCACTTTCTGCATGCAATCTGCAGATTAAATCTCTCGACTACAATCCTGACGGACCGTTCAGGAAACGATGCTTTTTCCCCCAACAGACCCTCAGCTGGGAGAGTTAACACTCCCACTTCCACATGACATTACTTTACCCTCCAGTAATCTCCCGGGTTTTATGTTCTACTGTAACAATAATGCAAACTTGCACATGAATGTAGACTGAAATTAATACATTGCCATGATGACATGCAGCATGAACATGTTGACAAACACGCGTGAGAAATGTCAATGGTGCAGAAATGGAATCACTGGTGCAAAACAGAACAAGATTCAGTTTAATCAGTTCACAAAATGGAGCTCAGAGACCTGGAGGTTTAACATGAAACTGATTTTATGTAGTTTTGTGCCAATCTAATGACGAAGAACATTTGAATTAAAAGGGATTAAACTGAGTCAACTTCCAATCTACAACAAGTAAAAGAGCTTGGTTTCTGTAACACGTATAAATTAGTACTGCAGGTTAAGATTAAATTATTAGCCTGTAGAAAACCAGAGTGAATTGGACTGAATTACAACATAGACACGTTGTAACGTGAGGCTGATGATGACTACCGTTTGTTTTTGCTATCAAATTTTCAACATAAAGCAATAAATCTTAAATGTATGTGTGATATATAAAAGAAAAAGGAACACAGTACTTTGCCATTAAATGTGAACAGTTTTAGCAAATAACCAATAAGCTCTATGGCTTCACATGAGAAGTTGAAAAAATAAAAAATATTGAGGGAGACGGAACTAGGTCAGTTATGCTAGCTTGACTTTGACAATCCTACCATGCAGATGTGCTGTAGGATTTGGTTTGTTTGTCATTTTCTCTCCATAAAAGCTACAGCTGGTCTGGCGTTCGGTTCGGCTGGTCTGAGCCTCTTGTTCTCCCTCTTCTGCTGTTAACATTTGACTCTCATGAACACTAAAAATCATCTTCTTGTTTGTTCTGGCTTGTTTTCCTCTCCACTGTTGCTGCGTGCTTGGTATGAAAGTTAACATCACAATGCATACTGTACTGTTTGATAACTAGAATCAATTGGGATATATGTCTGAATTGAAATTGAGACAATATTATGTAGGATATTATAACCCGGTAATGGATGGTACAAACCTGCAGCCAGAGTTTATCATGCTGAGACCATTTCCCTCCAGCAGTGCACTGGAACGTGGCATTTTGTCCCACGTTCACCTCCACATTTTGCAGCCGCAGGAAATGAGGAGCTTTACCTGCAACATCACAACACACAAATTATAGTGACAAGTTCATATGAACAAAATTAATAACGAAACACAAATACACACTTTACGTGTAAATTAATTCCAAGCTGAGATAAAATAAATATGAAAATTGAGAAACTCGCCTGATTTAAATTGTTAAAGTCTCAATTTTAGATCAAACTGTTTGGTTTTAGTCAAATATTTAAATATTTTACTAAGTTTAAATGGACTTAAACAAGTTTCAGGGTTCACATTGAACTCCAACTGGTCACAACCAGAAAAAAACAGTTTAATTCACTTTGACTTTGACCTAAGACACCATTACACTCTTGCGTTTGTGCCGTCCAACCACAATGTGGTCGGATGACTTGCTGCTTCGGCTAAATGATGCTCCAGCATAACTTTTGCTGCACATTGTCTGAAAAAACAAAAACAAAGCATCCTCCTCCTACGACTTCCTGTCGTCTTCTTTGCTGTTTTCAACAGTAATAACATCCGGATGCAGCTGAAAGACCAACTCATCCTAGCACAAAACCTTTCAATTGTTTTTTTTCCATTAAGAGAATTCACTTTAGAAATTTTAATTTGCGTGATTTTATGGTACACAGCTAGTGTTTGTGTAAACAACAGAACTAAAAGACATTTATAATGTAAGAGCCAGCAGGTTATTTTGTAATCAGAAGCGAGTCGTGGCTGTGAGACAGACGAGTGCAGCAGGCTGACATTGGGGTGACTTTGGTCTGGTATTGAGAGCTGCCTGTTACTGGTTAATTTCATTTGACTGTCTGTAGAAGTAGATAAACCCAACCGACTGTGGAGCCAT